GGCTGGTTAGTCATTTGTAACTGAGATCAATAAGTGTTAAACACATTAATTCATAGATGGAGAAAAAACTATTTGAAGAGAAACTTGATGAAAGTTCTCAGCTCAACTTTAAAAAAATAAATGTATGGGGTACTTGTGATACCATCTGTGAATTAAATAGAAACTTACATAAAGTAAAGAGGACTTACAGCTGTTTATTTAATATGCTCTAATCCTGCTGGTGCTCCTCCACTTTTTGGTTGTTTTATTTTTGTTTTTGTTATTTTTGGTAAAAAAAAAACCCACCTCTACCTATCTTTGGGTTGCTTTGCTTGTTTTATGGTAATATTTCTAAAGTTTTATAACAATAGCAGAAGCTTTAATTATATAATATGACAATACAATCGTAGAATTAAAACATGCCTCGTATCACAAGAAAGAAGAGACAGGAAGTAGAAGTTGATTACATTCTTGACCACTTTTGATAGCAGGTGGCTTCCCTTTCTGATCATTTCCTCCACAGAATAATTTCCCTTTTCTGAAGGGTTCCACCATCTCCTTTTTTCTTCCTCTTATTAGAACCCAAACTCTGTGTTCTCACTCTGAATCCTTTCTTCCTTCATCCTCTCCTCTGTTATTTCTGGTACTGGGACTATTGACGAAGCCAGTAAACACACCCATGACTTGATATATTCCCACTGATATTTCACAGTCACGGGGAAAAAGGGCCATTAGCAGGCAGTAAGCATGGATGGCTCCCAATGACAGAAACAAAATGGGGAAAACAAAGAGGAAATTGAGAAGTACCATTAACTATTCAAAAATTTCACCATTGCTAATCTATTGCATAGTTCATTATTATAGACTACTACCCTCTTGTAAAGAATACAATGAAAGCAAGGACATTTATAGATGCTCAAGACCCATAGGTTTGGTCTCAGGAGGTGGTGAGACCATTTTGCCTTTTCTAAAGGAAAAGTTAGACCTCTTTGAGCTTACTACATTGAAGACGGTCCATGACAATTCTGTCTTTCAGATCAAACCAATCTCATCTCATCCTTTTGCAGTAATCATCTAATAAAGCTGACATACAAAATACATACATTTTATCATACATGTCAAGTAAAAGCCAAAGAAATGAGTTCTTAAACTTTTTTTGTAATATGAAAAACATCTTAATAGAAAGACTGTCACATAATCTAACTCCTCTTTGAAATGAAAATGTGCAAAACTCAAGGGGACTGGACTTGATGACCTCTTGAGGCCCCTTCCAGTTCTAGTGTTCTATGATTCTGTTTCCAATTCTATCCATGACAGAATTACATTTGTGTGGCAACTATTCCAATTGCTGACATGAACATGTAATTTTAGCTAAAAGTGAGTTACTTGTTTTCCTATACAGTGACTGTGATTTGATAAATTGAAACAAGGAGAATTAGCACCAGTGGACCACAAACCACAGTTTGAGAAATGTTGCAATAGGGAAAACAGCTGTAGATAATGAAGCACTATTCACCATGACATTCAAAATAAAATTACATGCAGTGAATTTCAGCAAATGGATAGATACAAAGCCTAATACCAGATAGAACAAGAAGCAATGAGCTTAAATAGCAGCCAGGGAGGCTTAGGTTGGGCAATCCTAACTTTCAGGGTGGCTACACCCTGGAATAAATTCCTATGGTGATTGTGGAATCTCCATCACTGGAGATATTTTAGAGCATGTTACACAAACACCTGTAAGGGGTGGTCTAGATGGTTTTTAGTCTTGTCATTGTTAGAATTGAAAGTTTTATTCTTTTTTATATTTGTATTTTAGATTTAGTAATATAAGGTAATATATATAATCATATTTAATATTGAAGTAAGTCAAATCCTTTAGTTAAGTATATATCTCCTACATTTCGTTGTTCGAAAGAGTTTTGATATTGTGTCTGTGTTAATGAGACTAGAGGAATGTTAAAGGGTAAGGCCTTAATTGTTCGATTTACAATTCCTTTTTGCCTTGCCCAATGCAGATACTGATATTATGCTTTTCCTCGAGAGTCCTTGTAAAAGATTGTTTATGTATGAAAGTGGTATGTATGTGTCGAGATAAAGGTGCAAAAGTTATTGGTCAGAACCAGATGGCCGAAGAAAGAGGGGTGAGCGTGGGTGAAAACTAGACTACACAGCGTCAAAGAAGAACCATCTATAACCATCAATGCATACCCTTCCTCACAAGTTGATTGGATTATTGGCAGATTGACGGCCTTATAGCGGAGCTAGCACCCCTAAAAGATGATTGATTACAGGATGAGCTTTGGAAATGTTTTGGGAACACTGGCATAAAAAAGATAACACTCCGGTCACAGGCTGACACAGCAGAATCCATTGATTGATCTAACTGGCCACTAGATTGATACAGAATCTGGACTGGTAACTATGACATCGTCTGGCAGGACTGTGTATGCATGGTGTTTGTGTGTGTGAGTGATTGAAAAGCATATGCAACTGTTGTATTCTCAATAAATGCGGCATACTGCCTTTTTCCCTATAAAAGATCTTGTGTGCTTCGTTTAAGCATGAGGGCAGGGGACTGGATTTGAAGACCTCTTGAGGTTCCTTCCAGTTCTATGATTCCATGTGTATATTACAGAAAGGAAATTAAGAAAGGTGGAGAATCAACTAGTGAAAAAACACTAGATTTTATTTTGTTTTATTTATAGACAAATACCTATCCTTATGGAAACCCCAAACTTTTAAACATTTTAACTAAGAAATGTGTGAAGAAAAATATAGTGAAGAAAATTTAACATATGAGTTTTCAGTGCATGTAAATGGTATGTTTTCATTATCAGCACTAACAGTGTTAATTACAATTATTGTAATTCCCTCTTGGCAAGCCTCTCCCTGGAGCTGCTCAGTCAGTTGCAGCTGATTCCGAATATAGCAGTGCAACTGCTCACTCATTTGAGCTATCGTGATCATATTTTAAGCCCGCCATATTTATGTTAGGCTGCCTTTAAAATGGTGGATTGACTTTTACTTGCTGGCTCTTGAAGTTCATGTGCTGGCTCTTGAAGTTTACAAGACCTATCCCTTGAGCATGGTACTGAAAGTATTTGTATTCATATTCCACCTACTATTCCAGGATCTCACCAACATTTATGAAGCAACCTAAGGTGCTCCCATCCTCAGAAAAGATGCCCTAAAATCACCACTGTTCTCTCTGTATTTGCAGCCTTCCATTCCAAACCATTTCCCTTTAATGTATTTTATTTATCTGGACCCCTTCATTCAATTTTATATGGTGTTTTTAAAAATCTGGTAGTGTATGTTTTATTACATTTATGATTAAATTGTTATCCTGGATACTTTTGGAGGGCAAGAGAGGATCTGATGACTATATAGATAATTATTATAGTTTACTTTAAATTATTGCTTGAAAGATCAGAAACCCTGACACAAAAAATGGGATTTGCTTCTCTCACCCAAAAAAATTTTCAATAAAAGATGAAAAATTATCATGTTGTTTGATTTTTTGATTTCTCTAATCTACCTCCTCTCCTTTTTTCCCTTCTGTTTTTTCCTCTGACTTCTTTCACATCACATAATTTGTACAAATCTTTCTCCTCCGATGGCACTTCCTTGATTTTCTTCTTTCTCTCACTCCACCTGTGACAAATTTGTCTATCCCTCTAGCCTTTTTGATCATTTCCTCTCCAAAATCATTTTCTTTCCCTCCCACTCTTCTCTGTGAATCCACCATACTTCCTCTTAACCAGTTTTCTTCACTCCTACTATTTCTTCTACTTCTCTAATACTGATTCTCCATTTCTCTCTACCCTGCCCCTCAGGAGTTCTTTCTGTTTACCCACAAGATGTTGTCAGTCTTGCCTGCCCAACATTCTCCTACCTCCGCCATTTCATGTCACCTTGTCTCACCCTTGCATATCTTCTCCCCAAATGTCTTCCTGCCACCATTCCCTGTATCCCTTATCTCTCTCCCTCCCAATCTTTAGCCTTACAAAAATCTCTTATTCCTCTCAAGGCTGCTTTGTGATCCTACAGCCACCTCCTCCTCCTCTTCCACTTAAATCTGTCTATAGCAGTGTGCCTCTTGCTGAAGAGAAGGTCAGTGCTAAAGATGAAGATGAGGAAGTAAGTGGGTACCTGGGGAAGGAGTGGGGGAATTCATATCAGCCTTGCAGAGGATAAAGGGGCTCCTGCTAGCCTGAAAAGTAAGGAGATGGCATGAGGGTGAGAGCTGAGGTTCCATAGCAACTCTTCCATTAGGATCTTCCATCTAAACTGATTTGCTCTATGTACAGTAGTAGGCCCCTCCTACTGATTCCAGCGAGACTATCCTCGGAACATGGTACTATTTCCATAGACCAGCAGAATCAACAATGTTTATCTTGTCATCTTAAAAAGGATGATAGATGTTTAATTAAGTGGCAAAATGCTGCCTAAGTGGACATTACTATAATCAAAAGGAAAGCAGACATTCTTCCCATTGACATATAACATGGACATGATTTGAGTGTCAGAAAACATAAGGAATGTTTATGCAACAAGTATTTACTCAAACTAATAAACTCAATTCTCTGGGGGCAGACACATTCCTGGTGATACCACCTGTTGTACAAACTGCCAGACAAAGAGGCAAAAAAAAGAGCAGTCACGAGGATCTATTCAAAACACAAGGACTGAGGGAATCATTGTTTGCCCAATGAAGGAGAAAAACAGTAAGATCAGAATGTTATGCTTCAAAGGAGTATTTAAAAAAATAAAAAACACTATAAAGGTCCATTGTCTACTCAAGTGTTTGTTTTGTAAAATGCTGTGCCACTAGCCTTTCTAGTAGACAATACATTGACATGACAGTATAATACTCCATATTGCAGCATAAATTATGTAATATTATGGTGTTCATTTTGGTTTTTTTCCATTTTTTAATTTTTGTGATTACTAAACAAATGGACATAAATCAACTAGACATAAGATTACAAATGCTAATGCATTGCTAAAAGTCCTACCTGTTGGAGGGATGATTCCAGGAGACATTAGACCTGGGACAGAGTGTGGCATGATATGAGAATTCTCTGGGGAGGTGACACTTTGAGTCCTCTTAGGAGGCCTTCCAGGTCTAGAACTGAAACAAACAAACAAAATTTTTTTACAATTAAGCTGTTGTCTTACACATCATTTCAAAGTTGTTTCAAGTGGTAACATGGACTGTAAATAAATTTGTTTCAAGGACGGTTGCTTTTGCAGTTAGATGTAATAGACTTCCATCACTAATTAGATTACATGCTGAATTCATTTTCCTCATTGAAGATCAGCCGCTCTTGATGCATAATTCATAGACTGCACCTCGTTACCTGCTTCTTCATATTAATATCTATACACAGTTTGAATTGCCTCGTTTGCATATGCTAAAGTTCTGCATGCAGCCTTCAGCACGAAAATTATGCACTAACTTGTAATAATTATTACAGTCAGCTTGCTATTGATTTATGAGACTTTTAAAAACCAAATATGTGTAGTACTTGTAATGAATGATATTTTAAGGTTCTTCAGGAAATTAAAAGGCAATGGCTGCCTAAGGAAATGTTCTGCTTGTTTGATTTAATACTACAGTTAGCTGGGAGGTGGAATGAAAGAGTGATTCAGACCTATAGCACATTTTTCGATGATATGTTTTATTACTTTGCACTGCTAGCCTGATATCTAGATGATAAATGACAATACATATCTAATGTGTGAAAAGGTCTTGCAATTTCTTTATTTTTTGTCATTTAAAAGATAAGTCAAGTTATCATTTAACCCTTATTCTATTTAAAGTGAAAATCACACTAAGTCACCTTACTTTAAATGTACTACATCAGAAAGGACTTGGAATTATTTGTAGGACACTGTTGAGCAACTGTCACCATAGCAGCATACATATCCCCAATGTGAATAAATAAAGAGCTTTGGGTTTAAGCATTCCTTGTCCTTTGCTCACATAAATGACTTTCCGCCTACAGGGCTGTGTAAGTAGCCTACAAATTAGACATGGGTTATAATGAAAATATTTACTACCTACCCACATGTGAATATATATTCAACACAACCTTGACCAAAGTGTGCACATTTCCATGTACAGACCAAACTATTATGCTATTATACATTCTTGTAACTACCTACTTGGGGGTATTTACAGATGACTTCAGAGTCAGGCCTTTTTTTCACACTGCAGTTTTATTCTAGACTATGCCAAATATAAGGGAGTCCCATTTATCTCTGAGTAAGAGGTGTGTGTGGGGGGGGGGAGAGGGACAATTAGCTGCTCAGCTCCTGATAGGCCAAAATCCCATTGACTGTAATGGAAGTGCTATCTATTCTGGAACAGCAGTAAGAAGCAGAGAGGTTTGCCAGATAGTTTCAACAAAAAATACCAGACACACTTGACATTACATCACAATATAAATTACATCTTATTTAGAAAATACCGGACATTTATATTTTTGCATTTATATTTTTTCAATTTGATTCCCAACAGAAAGCTCAAATACTGGACTGTTCAGTTCGAAACTGGACACCTGGAAACCCTAGAAGCAGATAAGAAAACACCCACTTTTCCTGTGAACATCAGATTATTCCCATGTTTGGTAATACCCACATTTAAAAAAAATCTACAACCCATTTCCAATAAACTAATGACAATCAAAGTACAGTACATTTCCTTGGAGTTTAATGACTCAGGGCCTTGGACCATTAACCTTAACTGGTCATTAATTTCTCAGTTAATGTCCTGAATGTAGGTCATTATTAAATTGTAAACCTAGGATTTTTTGTTTTGTTTTTCCTTTTCAAAAGATAAACAAAAATCCTTTTTCCTACTACATCTGAAAAAGATCCACATAAGAACAAGATTGCTTTACAGTGATACCACACTGGGACATCATAGCAGCAAATCAAAAATCTGCACATTCTCTGGAATGTTCTATATACCATGAGAACACCTGAAACTGATTAAAATCACACACAAAAATCAACTGACTTCAGTGGAGTATATCTTAAATATTCACATACATGCCCCCAAGCTCCCCCCAAAAATTATGCTGTGGTAGAAAACTATAATGGCTCAATTTAAATGTCAGTGGAGACACTCCTCTCAACTCCCAGCTGTGAGCCTGGGTATTGCAGCAATCTGACATCAACATATAAGCCATAACCTCAGGAGCGGCCCAAGGCCAGCTGTGGCAGCTGGTGCCCCAGGCAAAACACACGATCGGCACCCCCACCTGCAGGGCCATCAATGGACTGACGTCATCATCAGGCACCCCATGATGTCATCACCAGATGTCCCAGGTGGTGGCCAACTCCGCCTATAGTCACAGGCCACCCCTGCATAACCTACATGTAACCACTAGGCAGATCAGAACCTTGGACCCCTGGAGTTTAGTGTAGTAGCTGCTACAGCTTGAGCTAGAAAGCTAGCTGGTGCTCAGCTTAGGCTGTGGAGCTCTCTTGTTCTTAGCTGTCACTGTAAGTGGTCTAAGTGCCACTACATGGGACAGTAAACCACATTAGGTGTGCGGGTTACATATGGGTTGCTCTACCTCATTATAATAGAGCACATTATGTATGCAGTATTTAGGAGAGGTCTTCAGACTCATTAAAACGTAAATGACCAGATCTGCGATGTTTCATTTTCAGAAGGTAGTTCTTTCTGACAAAAGCAATTCCAGTGAAGTCAACAGACTTGACTGAGCTACAGGCTGTGAGGCCTAGCCAAGGGATTCAAGGAAAGTAAGATCCTTATAGATTCGTGTGAGCTATCCAGACCTCGGGTCTGGGCACATAGGAGAAGCAGTCTGTGCTGTGCTTTTTTGATTCCTTCCATTTACTGCTCTTGAAGCAGCACTTGACTATGCTATGCCATACAGAGGAATTGCTGCAAAGTCACAAACTAGCCTGAGAGGGCAACTTTCTGAAGCAAGTTTGCACAGGAGGAAGCCTTAATTTTCTGATTCAAAACCAATTTAAGCAGGTGGGCTAGTTCTCTTTTTCTCTGATAACATTTTTTAAATTGTGAAACAACCAACTTACACTTTTTATCTAGTTAAGGAATAGTTGCTAATTATGAAAATTCAAGTAAACAAATGTCGAGTTTCTAAAATAATAAGTCTGGAAGACCTAATTTAGAGTCACTGCAGAGTATGCAGTACCCAATTAAAATGAGTACACTCTTGATTGGACTAAGCAAGCATACACTGATTGCCCTAGTGACTGATTATGTAATAACTATTGTTTAAAGTTATTATTTATACTATACTCTTGTTTCACTAAGAAATTTCTAAACTACTATAATTCTATTTTATATTTGCCGCCAAGGTTGTAAATCCTTTATATTATGTGTATATGTAATATGTATGTAATGGAAAAATCATGATTGTCCCTCTTTTTAAAGGAGCTGTAGGAATGGAGAAACGCTAAATGCTCTTGTATCTTTCTTTTCTGTAGTTCAGCAAAAGTAAAATGTCAAAATAATCTTTTAAAGACTTTTCTAAGTCTTTTTTAAGACTTAAGCTGCTCTCTACTAGCACTAACCACAATTCACTGCTCTCAGGCTAAATTTCTATACACAGGGCCATATTTCCACTTACTAATTGGTATAAATGTTCCTGCCAGTGGGGTTTGGTCCACAAATAGATTGTCTGTCTTCTTTTAATCCATTACATTTACCATGTTTGGCAGAAGTGCATCTCCAGACCTTCAACTATAAGTGCGCTACAATCAAAGAAAAGAATCTGGTCCAAACTCAGGTCCCTTTGCAAGGGAACAAGGGAAGAAATTATGTCCTTAAATGCTTTTTGCATTCAATAAGCCCTTTCCTGCTGCTTTTATAGTACACTTTCCAAGCCTTTAGTGCTAACCTGCTCTTTCTTTCTCCTCTTTCTTCATAGTCTTCTAGTGTCACTTATTAACAGCAGCAATAATGAATTAGCTACTTTTCCAAGTCTCATCTATGCTCTACAAGAAGCAGTGTCATTTTAAGTGCTAACATTCTCAGTGAGGAGACACTCGGCATGCAAAACATCAGGGAAATGCTGTTACACCCCAAATGCTTGTTATGTTAGGCAGCATTGTAGTGGTTAAAAATCTGGTGTGGTAGGAAGACATCTTGGTAGGAGGATCGGGGAAACTGGAAAGAGCAAGGGAATGATACTAGCATATGGAGCTTTTTACCTCAATGCAGTTGGATGAATATCGTACAGATGAACATTTATCAACAGCCCTTACTATTTATTGGCTCTCTGGGGGTATGTCTACACTACCCCGCTAGTTCGAACTAGCGGGGTAGACTATCTTCACTCAATATCACTTAGAGCATGTCTACACTACAGGACAAATGTCAAATTAAGATATGTAACTTCAGCTACATCAATTGCGTAGCTGAAGTTGAAATAGCTTAATTTCTACACAGCAGGAAGTCAAAGGAAGAACACTTTTCCGCTTCCTACCTTTACTCCTCATGAAATGAGGAGTAACGGTAGTTCGAACTAGGAAGCCTAGTTCGAACTACCTAGTTCGTGCCCCGTGTAGCCGCGCTGCACGGGGTTCGAACCAGTGGGGTTTTAAAAATGGTGGCTCCCCGCTTATGCAAATGAATCCCGGGAAATTCAAATCCCGGGCTTCATTTGCAAGTGCGGTATGCCTACATTACCCCGCTAGTTCGAACTAGCGGGGTAGTTGTGAAATGAATTTTGATGTCACAGCCCGGCTCCCAAAGAGTAAGTTTCTCTGTGACACTACCAATGTTGGTGCCAAGAGAAAACCTCGCTGGTTTCAGCAAAGAGATCAATAACTGAATGGCACAGAAACTCTCCCACCATGAGAAGCAGTCCTTCCTTCCTAGGAAACCTTGCATTGCTGTTGCCAGTGCTGTACCTGCACGATTCATGAGCACCATATGAAGCATCAACTTGCCAATAAAATCCTAATATAAAAACAAAACTTCAAAAGGATTGACCAAACCACCATGTAACTTCATTCCTCAGGTCTGAAAAAGCCTGATTTGTAAGCCTGCCATCCTTCAGAATATTTCAAATGCATTGCACTACAATTTTAAAGGAGAAAGACAACATGTTTTGATATTAATTTATGCCTG